GTACCATCCCAGACCTCCTGAACCAGAACCTGCACTTCAGCCAGGTGCCCAGCGGATATGTCTGCACAATAAACATGGAAAAACCAATCTCCGGTCCATAAACTTTTTTTTTTTTTGAGACACAGTCTCGCTCTGTTGCCCAGTCTGGAGCGCAGTGGCACGATCTCAGCTCACTGCAACCTCTAAAAAGATTCTCTTCAAGTATAAAAATGTGCACTTTGTACCAAGTCAAACATTGTAGAGGTGTTTAAAAAACATTAACAACTCCTCTTCCACCCCACTCTCTTATAATTCTGATCCTGTCTATAGGCAAAATCATGCCTACTTTACGGAGATTCTTGTCCCATTTATTTTGTGTGTGTGTGTGTGTGTGTGTGTTTTTGCCACTTTAGGCAGTGCTGTATTATGTATGTACTAAAATACATTTGAGAAACATATAAACAGATACAGTGTGTGGTGCTTGTTTGAACTGACTCAAATAAACCAATTGTAAAAAGATATTTTGAGAAAATAAGGGAAATCTGAATATGGAGTGGACTGGTATTAGATACTAAGGAATTAGTGGTAACTGTATTTGGTGTTGTGGCTATGTGTTTGTATATTAAAGTCTCTGATCAGTTAGAGATGTATACTGAATTATTTACAGGTGACATGACATGTTTGGAATTGGATTTTAAAGAACTCCAGGGTGGGGGCAGGGAATAAGTAGAGGAGAAGAAACAAAGCAAGATTAGTGAAATGCCATTTACTGATCAAGCTGGGTGACGGTCACTTGGAGACCCATTTTATTATTCTCCCCTCTTTGCGTGCATGAAATTACAAAAGCCTTGTTAAAAATGTTATTTATTGTCATTTAATGATACTTAAATTTTTTTTTTTTTTTTTTTTTTTTTTTACAAATAGGGTCTCACTATATTGCCCAGACTGGTCTTGAACTCCTGGGCTCAAGCAATCCTCCCGCCTCAGCCTCCAGAGTAGCTGGGATTATGGGCGTCTGCCACCATGCTTGTACTTACTGATACTTTGTTTTGTGAGCTAAGCTAGACTGCCAAAGTCTAGATCAAAGGGTATGTGAGTTTTAACTCTGATAAACATTGCCAGACGCCCCGCACTGAAGGAGAGCTTTCCTTTTTCATTATCAGTACTGGATCCTATCATTCTAAAACTTCCATCAATTTGATGGGTAGAAAACAGTTTACTTTCTTAAATTTTAGTGATATTGCCCATTATTTTTCATAGACATGACCTGCTTTTTGACTTTGCCTTCATGCCTTATGTGATACCAGATTGTTTTCATGGATTTCAGTCCTGCTTCAGAAGGTCTACCTACCTCAAGGTGATATACACATTCTCTCAGTTCTTCTAACATTTTCATAGCTTTAGTTTTTACATTTAGAGATTTCATCCTTCTGGAGTTCATGCTACTGTGTTTTCCTCTGTGGTGTGAGTGACGCATGCAACTTTGTTTTCTTGTTCCCTGAGAGCCAGTTATGCTGCGCCATGTAAGTCCCACCCAGGCCATCCAGTATCACCTCAAAATGCTTCCATCAGTACATCTTGCTTCCTCCCTCTCTTTTTCTTCACCTCCTTTTTGTTCTTCCTTTTTAAATTTGAATGTGAACACTAAGGTGGAACGAACGTCATCTTCAGGCCCCAGAGCTCCCTACAGCCTGACATCAACTGCTTCACACACTTCCTAGCCCTGACAGCATCTGACTCCGTGACCCATGAAATAAACCACCCCTCTCCTACCTCCATTGTCTGCTAGGTATACAACTTTCCTTCGTTTTATTTCTGCACTCTGCAGCCCCCTGCTACTCAAAGTGTGCGCCTCAGACAAGCAGCATCATCCAAATTTCATTGAAAATGCATAATTTTGGCTACCATCCCAGACCTCCTGAACCAGAACCTGCACTTCAGCCAGGTGCCCAGCGGATATGTCTGCACAATAAACTTGGAGAAACCCAACTCTGGTCCATAAATTTTTTTTTTTTTTGAGACACAGTCTCGCTCTGTTGCCCAGTCTGGAGCGCAGTGGCACGATCTCAGCTCACTGCAACCTCTGCCTACCGGGTTCAACCCAGCCAAACCGTGCCCAGCCAAGCACCACTTTTAAATGGCTCAGATCAGCCAGGCATAGTGGCCCTGGCCTGTAAATCCCAGCACTTTGGGAGGCCAAGGCAGGCAAATCACTTGAGGTCAGGAGTTCCAGACCAGCCTGGCCAACATGGTGACACTCCATCTCTATTAAAAATACAAAAAATTAGCTGGGCGTGGTGGTGCACACCTGTAGTCACAGCTACTCGGGAGGCTGAGGCAGGAGAATCGCCTGAACCCAGGAGGCGGAGCTTGCAGTGAGCTGTGATCACATCACTGCACTCCAGCCTGGGTGACAGAGCAAGATTCCATCTCAAACAAACAAACAAACAAAATTTAAATTTAAATTTTAAAAATGGCTCAGATCATGCATGTATGTTTTTATACTTTTAACCCTTGATTGCTTTAATAAAGAAATTACCTATTCCTGTTGTTGGCTTAAATAGTGAGTTTAGAAATAAGTTTGAAATGTCATCTAAATTATTCACCTAGCTGGGCACAGAGGTTCACGCCTGTACTCCCAACACTTTGGGAGGCTGAGGCAGGAGGATCACTTGAGCCAGGAGTCTGAGACCAGCCAGAGCAACATGATGAAACCCTATCTCTAAAAAAAAAAAAAAAAAAAAAAAATTAGTGGGGCGTGATGGCGTGTGCCTGTGGTCCCAGTTACTCGGGAGGCTGAGGTGAGAGGATTGTTTGAGCCTAGGAGGTTGAGGCTGTAGTGAGACAAGATCGCACCATTGCACTCCAGCCTGGGCAACAGAGTGAGACCCTGTATCAAAAAAGAAAAAAATTATTCATTTAACACATTACAGAGACCAAGAAGCTGAGATAACAAGTCAGATGGGTCAAGTAAGGACACGGCCATACTAAAATATTAGCATGGCTGGGAGCAGTGGCTCATGCCTATAATCCCAGCTACTTGGGAGACTGAGGCAGGAGAATCACTTGAATCTGGGAGGTGGAGGTTACAGTGAGCAGAGATCACACTGCTGCACTCCAGCCTGGGCGACACAGCCAGACTCCATCTCGAAAAGAAAAGAAGAGAAGAGAAGAGAGAAGAGAGAGAAGAGAAAAGAGAAAAGAGAAAAGAGAAGAGAAGAGAAGAAAAAGAAAAGAAAAGAAAAGATAAGAAAAGAGAAAAGAAAAGAAAAGGAGTGGCCTCCTCACTCTCTACATCCCCCAAAGTATCAGGTCCTACTGATTCCATCCTACAGCTGCTACCTTCTCTCTAATCCCTGTGCCAGGGGCTTCGTTCAGGACCTCTTCTCTCCTTTGAACTACCACATTAGCTTAATAAGGATGTACTCACTGATATTTATGGAGGGCTCACTAGTCACCAGGCACACCATTGTAGGGACTTTACACATATTAACTCATTTCATGCACTGTCATTTCCACTTTCAGATGCACAAACACAGGGACTGAGCAACTTCCCCTAGAACAAGAATCTAATCAGGCAGTCGGGTCCCAAAGCCCACATTTGCCCTGCTTCAGGTCTCTCCTCCAGCCCTCCTTCCACACTCAGCACAGGGGTCTTTGTAAAAATCGCATCTGCTCAGTCTCATCTCAGGCCCCCTCAAGGCTCCAGTCACCAGTTCCTCTCCCTGGTGGCCCCTCGCTCCCTTCAGCCTCCTTCACTCCCCATCCTCCAGGATAGCTCCGATCTTCCCTGGCCTTCCATGTTCTCAGGGACCATTTCCAGCCTCACCGTCTACCCTCCCCTCTGGGAGCATGGGCTGGCACTGATTTTCCTCGGCATCCCGAGTTCTCTGCAGCGTGTGCGGCAGCATTTTCCACACTGTGCACTAGCCATGTTTCCTTTCCCTCCAGTGCTTCTCAGGTGCGAGTGATTTTGCCCACAGGGGATATCTGACAATGTTTGGAGACATTTTGGGTTGTTAAAAGTGGGAGTAGCGCTACTGGCATCTAATGGAGGATGGCCAAGAATGCTGCTAACCAACCTACAGTGCAACAGACAGCCCTACAACAAAGACATCAACAATCATAAGCCCCAAAACCACCCATCACAGTCAGGATCACCAGTCACAGAAAAATTTCCCTCACTGAGCTAACAATGGGTTCTGAACACAGAGTGGACTCC